GGGGTGGTCGTGGGTATGGGGACAATGGGGAGAGCGTTTTTGGTGCCCGCTGGCCCAGGCAATTTTCAGGTGCTACGTCGTCCTGTCCTTCATCAAATTTCTTCTTTGCTGAATCCTGAGCTGATTACTGGAGTCTCGGGTAAACCAAACCCCTTCCCGGTCCGTCCTCAAAAAGCTCCCAGTTTGGAGGAAGAAACAAAACAAAACTGGATAAAGAGAGGCGGGGTGGGAACAGGTGGCAGGGGTCCTGCGAGGATTTGCGATTTGCTCGGCTCTGTGGCTTCTCCGGCCCTGCTCTCCCAGGGCCATTTGTTGGGCAGGGTAACTTCCTAGAGCCTGTGCCTCACCCCCCAGGTCCCCAAGATTCTTGGGGGGCGATTCATAGAGATCCCTCCACCTCCCACTCCGGGATGAGTGCTCAAGTTGGGTGGGATGCTGAGGACCGGCGAGGAGTTTTACCCCCCGCCCCCTGCAGTCCAACTCCGGGGACAGCAGCCGGTCCTGTCGGGTCCTCAGCTGAGCGCTCAGGTCCCCCCACCCGCGGAGCCGACACTCACCAGCTCCGTCCTCAGCGTCACGAGCTTGTCCCCCAGGCCGTGACCAGGGCTAGACGTCCCCGGGAGCCGCAGGGCGCCGCCGGTCCCCGGCTCCCTCTCCCCTCGCAGCCCGCGGAGCAGCCCTTCGGGGGTCTTTCTGCCCACCTTGCTCTCCACGTCGCGCAGGTCGGGCGTCTGAGACCCTGCAGTCCCCTCCATGGGGACCCCAGCGTGGGCAGCGCCGGGGCCGGGATGCCGGGGGCTGGGGTGGGGCTGGCTCCCCCGGGGTCCTGCTTTCTCTCCCCGGCGCCGCGGCGGAGCGGAGCCGAGCGGAACCGGGCCGTCCCCGCCCCCGCGGGAGGAGGGCGCCGTAAGTCTCCGAAAAGCCGCGCAGAGCCACAGACGGGTCCGGCGCTGCGCAGACCCCCTCTGGCCGTGGACCGCAAGGGACCAGGGGACGTTGCATTTGCACTTGACAGGGCACCGAAGAGAATTCCATCCGGCTCCTGAATCCAGCCAGGCACCCGGCGGGCGCCCAAGAAATGCGTGCGTGCCGGATGAAGACTGGGCAAGGTTAACGCACTGCAACAGCCAGGGTTGCACGGGATTTGGGAAGGCTTCCTGGAGCCCAGGAGCTGGGTCTCAAACAGTGGTTAGATTTAGCTAGTCACTGAGTGTGCGCAAAAACACACACGCGCGCGCGCGCGCACACACACACGCACGCACGCACACACTCGCACAGTTCTAGGCCCCAGTAGCTAGAATTTAGCCCCAGAGAGCAGAAAATAAAGTCCTACCATCCAGTGAGGCACAAAATAGTGCGGAAGCTAGAGAGGTCCACTGGAATGGATCCAGCGAATGATGCTGGATCCTGTAGACCGGTGTTTTTTAAGCCTGACTGCGCCTCGGAATCACTGTGGATCTTGATCTAACAGTGGTGGGGCCTGCGATTCTGTCTTTCTAATAAGCTCCGCAGACCACACCTTGAGTAACAAGGTTTTATTTTTTCTATGGGTCACTAAAAACGTTTTCTTTTCTTTTTTGGAGGGTGGGGGCTTGTTTTTCTTATCTTTAAACCAAATCATGCCAGTCTATGTCTGCGAAAGGGTTTACAATAAAAAGATGGCCCTGCCTTTCCTTTCCCACCTCTCATCTCTTTCTCCACTAGGTTTGTTTGTTGGTGTTTATACCCATTATTCAAAAGAGTGGGCTTATATTGCTATTTCTTGATTTTTAAGCTTGTCTAATGACTTCCTATTATGATAAATATGGATCTAGCTCACTTCGACCCTGTACTTCCCTTTCTCCATCGGCACCATCTACTTCTAGCGCTGCTTCTTGGGTCATCTAACACATGGCTCTCAGCAAACTGGAGCTCTTGGTACATCCATGTGGCTCTGAAATAAAATTGAGCATGAAAATAAAACTACCCTACTTTCACTTACAAAGATTTTAAAGGATATTATTAAGACAATGGTGATTTCATTTGTTTGTAAAAAATATATTTATAGGGCTCAAAGAATGTTTAAATTGTTGGGAGGGAGAGAATTGGCTCTTGTCTCAAGAGTTTATCGACCTCTGATCTAATGCATCTTGCCTGCACTCACAATCAATGATCCTCATTGCAACTGCAGTTAAGAAATGAAATGATATCCTGCATTGGGTAAATCTGCTGCACAAGACTTCTTCAAAGTGTTGAAAAGCAATGATGTCACTTTGAGGGCTAAGGTGCGCTGGACCCAAGCCAAGATAGTTTCAATGGCCTCATATGCATGTGAAAGTTGGACAGTGAGTAAGGAAGACTGGAGAAGAACAGAGTCGTTTGTACCGTGGTGCTGACAAAGGATGGCAGGCACTGCGGACTGCGAACAGGATCTGTATTGGAAGACGCACAGGCAGGAAGCTCCTTACAAGCCAGGGTGGTAAGGGTTCATCAGGTACTTTGGACATGTTGTCAAGAGCAACCAGTCCCCCTGGAAAAGGACACGTTTGGTAAAGTAAAAGGGCAACAGAAAATAGGAATAGCCCCAACAAGATGGACTGACCCAGTGGCGGCGACAATGGGCCCAAACAAAACAGCCCTGCAGCTGGTGCAGGACTGCGCAGGGCTTTGTTCTGTTGTGCACAGGGCGCCAGGAGGAGGAACCCCGGGCACCTGACAACAGCAGGCACAGGTTCCCAAATTTATTTGGCCTACAAGCCCCTTTCCTGAGAAAAAAAAATTGCCCCGTGTTCCTCCTGGCAATTAAAAACTTTATATTGTAGCTCATAATGCAAGATAAAGTGTAGATGTCTGCTTTTGCAGCCCCCTCCCCCATCATTCCAGTGTCCCCAGGGAGAGGTATTGGCCACTTTGGGAAATACTGATGTAGTCGTTACTTTTGTCATTTTAACTGACACATTGTCCCTTAGACAATATCTCTTTATTCACACAAAGATTTTAAGTCAAAGATTGACAGAAAAAAATGCATTTTGGAAAACTTACTTTGGATTTCTCAAGGAGAAAGGATCAGACAGATAAAAAAATCTGGAGTGGAATAGGCTTGTTAGAAGAAGAGCAATGGAAATGACTGGTTATGACCTTGGAGAAGGACTGGACCAGAAGGGGGCCCTTGAGGGGCTAAGATTGACAGGACTTGGTGACTGTTTAGGGTCATTTATTTATGGTAGCATTTGATAAATTCAAGGGGGTTTCAAAAACATCATGAAAAATTACAATATCTTTTAATTCCATTTTCCTACAAACTTTTGAAGTCCCTTCCTATTTTTTTTTAATTAATGATTTCAGCAAATATTATGGAAAGCCTACAATGTCTTAGGCTATCTGGCAGTGCAATGGTTTAAGTGTTTGGCTGTGAACTGAAAGGTTGGAAACGTCAACTCACCTAGTGGCTCCTTGGGAGAAAGAACTGGCAGATCTGCTCCTATAATGATGGTTGTGTGACATCTAGTGGATTTTGATTCCTAACAACCCTACAAGGGGGAGTAGAATGGCCTCATAGGACTTCCTAGGTTGAATGCTTTAACCATTGTGCCACCGGGGCCCCTTTGGAGAATATAGTGGTCATTAAAGAGATCTAGGGACTGGAGAGAGAAGAAGGCATCAAGGGTGGACTCCCAGCTGTTTGGCCTGATGTGATTCAACAGGAAGGAAACCTAAGAGGAGGTCTGGGAGTGGGGGTTGGGGGGACCTGTGAGGCTTTCTACTCCCATAAAGTGTTGCAGTCTTGGACCAGAGGATGTACACTGGTACAGGTGGGAACTGGAAACACAGGGAATCCAGGACAGATGAACCCCTCAGGACCAGTGGTGAGAGTGGCGATACCCGGAGGGTGGGGTGGAAAAGGGGAACCTATGACAAGGATCTACATATAACCTCCTCCCTGGGGACGGACAACAGAAAAGTTGGTGAAGGGAGACATCGGACAGTGTAAGATATGACAAAATAATAATTTATAAATTATCAAAGGTTCATGAGGGAGAGGGGAGCCAGTAGGGAGGGGGGAAATGAGGAGCTGATACCAAGGGCTCAAGTAGAAAGCAAATGTTTTGAGAGTGATGAGGGAACAAATTACAAAAGTACTTGACACAATGGATGTATGTGTGGATTATGAGTTGTACAAGCCCCCAATAAAAAATAAAAATAAACAAGTTGCAGTCTCTGCAGCCCACAGGGACCATTCTAGCCTGTCCTCTAGGGCCGCTATGAGTCTGACTTGACTCTCCATGGCAGTGAGTGGAAATGTCCAGAATCCCTGGGCGGCGCACTTGGCTAAGTGCCGGACCCTGACAGGTTGGTGGTTCTAGCCCGTTCAAGAGAAAGGCCTGACAATCCACTTCTGCAATGTCACAGCCGGGGCAACCCTATGGGGCATTTGTCTGCACACAGGGGCTGCCCTTTGTTGGACTCAACTGTCTTTGTTTGCTTTGTTTGGACAGTGGTGCTGGGCAGGCAGCGGGGCAGCGTCAGCCTGACACAGGAGGAAGGTTAGCGCTGTCGCGAGGGGTGTGGCAATCTAGATGGAAATGGAGGTCACGAGAGTGGGTGAGATCTTCCAAGGATAACGAGTTCGAGAAGAGAAAAGGGCTAGGCAGGAACCCAGAGAGACATCTTTTTTTTTTTTTTTTAATACTTTTATTGGGGGCTCTTACATCTCATCACAATCCATACATTCATTCATTGTGTCAAGAACATTTGTACATATGTTGCCATCATCATTTTCAAAGCATTTTTTTTCTACTTGAGCCCTTGCTATCAGCTCATTTTTTCCCCCTTCTCTCATGAACCCTTGATAAATTATAGATTATTATTTTCTTATCTTACACCGTCCTCTGTCACCCTTCACCCAATTTTCTGTTGTTTGTCCCTCTGGGAGGGGGGTCTATGTTGATCCTTGTGATCGATTCCCCCTTTCTTCCCCCACCTTCCCCTATCCTCCTGGTATCTCTGTTCTCATTATTGGCCGTGAGGGGTTTATCCATCCTGGATTCCGTGTTGCAGGCTCCACATCTTTTTAAAATGTTAACAAAATGGGTTGGATTTTCTTCTGTTCTACTATATCCTTATTGGGGAAAATCACTGATGGCCTCAACTCCTAAAATAGTACTGGTCACATGCCAAATCACTATTTAAGGAGCCCTGCCAGGAGCCCTGGTGGTGTAATGGTTGCGTGTTGGGCTGCTAACTGCAAGGTCAGCAATTCAAAATCACCAGCCTCTCTGAGGGAGAAAGAGGGGGCATTCTAGTATTGTAAAGAATTACCGCCCCAGGAACTCACAGGGGGCAATTCTCCCCTGCCCTAAAGGCTTGCTATAAGTTGGCATCAACTTGACGACAGTTTGGTTTGGGTTTGGTGGTGCTGGTGGGTAGCACAGGGCTGCTAATCACACAGTACGTCGTTCAAACACAGAGCTACTCCAGGGAAGTCAATGCTTACCCAACAGAGCCCAGAAGGCTCTAGACTCCAAACAGAAACTTGTACCAGTTTCATCAAGCTCCTCAGGTGATTCTGCTGCAAGTGAAACTCTGAGGACCACTGTGCTTAGCAAAGGGAACTCCGGTGACAGTGGTTTAAGAGCTTGGCTACTAACCAACAATAGTGGTGGTGGTGGTGGTGGCGGCGGTGTTTCAAACCCACTAGCTTCTCAACAGGAGACATGGTAGTTTGCTTCTGTAAAGCTCCATAGGGAAGGCACTTCTCCACGGGGTAGGCAGCTGTACTCTGTCCTTTGGGGTCATCACAAGTCAGAATCCACTCTTGCACAGTGAGCTTGGTTTTGGTGTTAGACTAAGTACATTATTTCACGGAACCTTCACCACAACTCCACCAGTATTATTATTCCCAGTATTATCCAGGGGTTAAGAGCTGAGTCCGGAACCAGGCCACCTGTGTCCCAGGCTCTTCCAACTTTTGTGATATTGGGCCTAATTTTCTTTACCTGTAAGATTGGGATAGCAACGACAACAACAAAAACCACTGCCGTTGGGTCAGAGATGAAATCGTTATGAGAGCCCTCAGCCTCATGGTTCACCCACAGTACTGCTGGGAGGTTTGAACCAGTGCCACGGGGCTCCGGGATAAAAATACCAAAAAAACAAAACAAAACTCACTGCCATCGAGTAGATTCCAACTCATAGTGACAGAGTAGGGCCAAGTAGAGCTGACACTGTGAGCCTGTAAATCGGAAAGAGGACGTTCATCTTTCCTCCCAAGGTGCAGCCGGTGGTTTTAAACTGCTGACCTTGAGATTAACAGCTCCCTGTGTAACCCACTACCCCAACAGGGTTCCAGGGTTAGGGTAGCCCCTCCCTAATAGGGTTGTTAGGGAGCTCTGGTGGCCTGGTGGCTTTTGCTTGGGGCTCCTAAAACCTAAGGTCGGTTCCAACCCACCAGCCTCTTTTGAGTAAGAAGCATGAGGCTTCCGTGAAGATGTTCAGCCTCGATGGGAGCAATTCTACTCCTGTCTGAAGGCAGTGCGTTTGGTTTTCTTAATGGGGGTAGTTAAGGCATGAACCGAGCTAACGCTAAGGAAAGTGTTTATAACAGTGAGTAGCATCTAGCCAGCATCATACAGGTGTGGCCCAGTTTCAACAGTAGAGACGAGACCCTAAGCCGAGACCCTAAGCCGAGAGATGAAGTGACTTGCCAAAACCCAGGGGCGTGATGGTGCCAGGTTTTTAATCTAGGCTCCTTCACCTCCGAAGGGCCGGCGGACTCTGCTAGCGTGCAGCCTTCGCAGCGCGGCCGGGCCAGGGTGCAGGGCTGGGCCCGAGGCCTGGATCCTGCCCGGTGGTCTGGTCTGAGA